AACAGACTCTCTGTTACGACTCCATCCTCACCCTCAAGGCGCCTGCGGCCAAGCTTTAATTCAAAACTGTTGTTGCTACAATGCTTATATTTTTATTGATCGGTTTCATTTTGAAAACGAACATGCTACCTGGTGTTGAGTCAAATAACTTTTGTATTGTTTTTGGCCAGGAATGGAGACCGCGGTTGGAAACGACCCAAACCCCAAACAACAAAATTACCAACACCCATCCCCATCTTTCATGGAGGGTCCAACACAGCGCACATGCGAGTGCAAGTCCCTGCACCATCCAGCTTTGTGTAGTTACAGTGCATATATGGCTGGTCCCTTCACAGCATCCCACTAATACAGGTACACCAAACTGTCTCTCATTTCTCAAGCATGGTTGAGAACATTCTATTCTGCATGGCTCCTTTCCAATGCTTTGATCCCTAGGAACACATTTTCATGCCTACATACGAATTATGGAGGAAAGCAAGTATTCAGTCAAAAAAAGATTTTGCCAACAAGTAGAGATCACTTTTTCTGTCATAGTGAATGGGACATTTGGACTATTTGAGCAGTGTGGTGCTAGGCAAGTTCAGACATTCACGTACAAATATCATGTCATGGGAACTCTTAAGCTATATCATAGTGGCTCTAGAGTGAAAAGTGAGAAAAATATAACTCTTCCAAAACATTCTTTTGATTCACTAACCATTCATACTCAATTACTGCCATGTCACACACCCTCCACTGCTCCTGACATTTGCAAAGCAGATTTTTATGGCTATGGCATCCCTGTCTGCTACATCCTAGGACCATATCATTCTAAGGTACTGCCTGAAATTTACCTGGTCAGTCTCTCACTAGGGCAAATTGTGCCACTCAATCCACAACTTTCACCCAGCCACCTTCCCTTTCAGGGTGGCACCCCATCCCAACAATGGCAGGATATGACCCTGCACATCCAGAGGATAGCAGATTTTGAGTCTGCTGCCTTAACCACTCGGCCACGTTGTCTTAAAGACTATTACATAATGAGCTTTCTGGTTCCTCCTGGATGATCCCTGATAAGGTTCTCACTGCAGCTTCCCATGATTCACATCTCCTACAGTACTTACCTGATTCTGAAGGTTGAATTTGCTGGCATCCAGATATATCTTAACTATTTTTCTATCCAAAAACACTATGAAAGAAGCAGTGTTTTTATTGAAATAAAGTATCAACTTCTGAATATCTTCCCTCCAATTTCCTATCATTTGGTAGCACCAGAGCTATGTCCTCCTCCTCAGACATCCATATACCTCCAGAACCACTCCTGTGCCCCTCACTGCTGACCAGCAGTTCCAGCAGCTTGCCCAAGCCTACACTGAGATCAGCCAGACCAACCAGTACCTTCTGACTAAGCTCGAAGCCTTGCGTTGCTTTCAGGCCACCATGTCCTCTTCTGCTGCCCCTGCACTCCAGGCCCTCCAAGCTGATGGTACTGCTACCACAGCCCATCCCCTGCCTTATTTCAGGATGCCCTCAGTTAAGCCCATAGCCTTTGCTGGGTCTGGCAAGAACAGACCAGCCCGTGAACTCCAGAACTTCCTGGATGACTATCTCAAGTGCTCGCTAGAGGTCTGCCACCTCTACTGCTTTGCCCCACTATTGCTGACTGCACTCATACTGGTCAACCTGACTACATTCAATTCATAGCCTCAGGTCTCAATGACCATGCGCGCATCATTTGTGCTGCCTATTTGAGTCAGAACACACCACCATGACCTGGGAATGCTACACTGAATGGATTGTCAATCCTTTGGCTCTCAGCTCATGCTCACCCAGGCCATTGAGGCCATGGAAAACCTGTATCAGTCCAAGTCCACCTGTACCTACTCAGCCCAGTTCAACGAACTCACCTCTGCCATCACTGCGTCCAGCGTGACCTACCCTCTCAAGCACTTGTGTGCCAAGTACCTCCAAGGAAGTACTCAAGCTCCATCTACACATTATTCTTTGGCTTTTCTGCATCAAAAATGACCTTGAGAAACTCCAACAGGAGGCTGAGAAACTTGACGACATGACCTTTTGCCACAACTATCATAAGCATCACAACTTCGCATTGTTGACAAGATTCATCATTATCCAGCCAGTCTAGAACTGTTGGATTGATGCCACTGCATGAAGCTTTTGGGAGCAAAATCAATTACTTTATGCTTTATCATTGGATATGCTTGGGACCCACCCCCATGGGTCATGGTGGTCCACTTCCCACAAGTTGGCTCCAACCGCGTCCATTCCATATCCTCAACCCACTGCCGCATCCAAACTCGCCGCGCCACATCCGAGGTGTTGCTGGAGTCCCCAAAATGCATTGAACGCGCATTGAAGTCCCCCACTATCACCATTGGGCACTCGCTATAAAGCTGGCTCAACCTGGCCTTCATCTGCTCAAACTCCTGCAAGTGTTCCAC